CCCATCTTCTTGCTTGGAGAAGCCCCAGAAATCCTGACCCGTGTTCCTGATTTCTTGCTTTTCAGGGTGTCACAGTACCTGGGCTGGGCACCTTCTTTGCTGTTAAACAGGAGCCCATGGCAGGCGTTAAGCTCCTTGACGCAAAGAAGCCCGTCTTCCAGGTTTCGGAGCACTTTGCCAATGTTCATGGGTTCCCTTACAAGAAAGAAACTTTTCCTGGTAAGAAGAGAGATGATTGTCTGGGCTCCCACGCGCGGGGACTTTGGGCTGCATGCTCAGCTGCTGCTGGGAGGGCAGTGGAGGGGTTCCACAGTCCTCCAGGAGGTCCAGAGAAAGGCCTGAGCTCCTCTCAAGCCAGGGCCCACCAATGCTTTGACTCTTCCAGGAACCACAGGGTTTTCCCCAGGAAGAAGGCAGCTCATCCAGCAGCGTGGACAGGGAGGCTGCAGATGAGGGGTACAGAGCGGCCTCCCCAGACACCTGGAGGTCAAGCAGTCAAAGCCATCAGCATGTCCCAGCCCCAGTGAGCACAGCACTGCGGTGCTGGTTGAGAGCCAGTGACGTGCACGACATGCCTCCAGTGTCTCTGAGGAAGAGCTGGATGTGATAACAGCCGAGATTGTTGTTGCTGCAGTGCTACTCCCTTCTGTAGCCATCATGCAGGGAGCCACGAGCAAGGATCCAACTGCTCCCTTGGCCACATGGGCCAGGGTTGCCTCCTCCCATCCCAGAGCCTGTTGACTGTACAGCAGTTGACGAAACCGGAGCAGTGGCTTCCTCCCTTGGCTATGGTTCCTGGGCACCAGGTAAGCCCAGCGCGTGTGGGTGGTCTCCAGGCACCCGAGGGCAGCCTGAGGCAGAAGCAGTGCGTGGGGTGTGCGTGCTGGGGAGCTGCCTGCTGCTCTCCATTCCCAAATGCCCCAGGCACAAGGGCTGACATCCCTTCCATCACCTACCTGTGCTCTTGCTCTCCCCATGCAGGTTGCTGCCGAGCAGAGAGGCCAAGCGCAGTCTTCCCTGCACCAAAGATACACCAGCAGACAAGCCAGCAACGTGCCAGAAACAAGAGCCGCCCCAGGGACTTTTGGATGGGCCCTGTTCAGAGCAGCGAGCAGGAGCAAGGGCTAGGAAAACGCAGGGGGGCTGGCTGGTCCTGGGCCACCCATCCCCTGGGTGCTGGTGCGGGGGGAAGGCAGGGGCTTGCCCATCACCCGCTCAGGCCCTAACCTCACCTCTCTGTCTCCCACAGGCATCCATGAACTCGCACAAGCCCCGGCACGCCAGCCACAGGCCCGCCCACATCAGGAGAGCTCTGCGGGCTCTGCGCAGGGCTTTGTGCTGCATGCTTTCATCCCAGAAGAGTGGAGTAGCAGCAATGTATCGGCAATGTAGGCCCGGTGGTCGTGGGCAGGGGTCTTTCAGGCTGAAGGCAACGAGGAAGAGGAGGTTAAACTCTCTTTACCTTTGTGGACTTGGACCTTCTGGTTGGATAGTTTGACCTTGGTGAGGTCATGGATGCCCTGTGGAGACAGAGCGGGTGTAGGTTAGGGCCCTGAGAAGGTGATGGGCAAGCCCCTGCCTTCCCCCCACACCACCACCCAAGGCCTTTCACCCAAGGGGAGGGGTGGCCCAGAACCAGCCAGCCCCCCTGCGCGTTACCGAGCCCTTGCTCCTGCTCGCTTGCTCTGAACAGGCCCATCCAAAAGTCCCCGGGACGGGCTCTTGTTTCTAGCACGTTGCTGGCTTGTCTGCTGGTTGTATCTTTGTGGTGCAGGAAGACTGCGCTTGGCCTCCTCTGCTCGGCAGCAACCTGCTGGGGGAGAGCAAGAGCACAGGTAGGTGATGGAAGGATGTCAGCCCTGTATATGCCTTTTTGGTTGTAAATGCACACGGAGTGATCTGGAAGGAGAGGGGATTATGGAATTCGCACGGCACAAAATATCAAGCATGCAAAAGAAATCCTGAAGTTGTTGGAAGCAGTTCAACTCCCCTGAGAAAGTGGCAGTCATGCACATTAGAGCACACCAAAAGCAAACTCAGAATTGGAAAAAGGAAATGAGCTGGCGGACAGAGAGGCAAAACATGCAGCCAAAAGAGAGGTGAAAACAGAAGGGGCCCTGATCCCTGATGGGCAAATCTCCCTAGAAGGTAAGCCCAAATATACCAAAGAAGATCAGAAATTAATTACTGATCTAGAAGGTTCCTATAAGGAGGAGGGGTGGGCTCTTACCCCCCAAGGGAAAATGATTATTCCCTCTATATGATATGGCCCTTGGTAAGAGAGGAACATAGAAAGGCACTGGGGGGCTGAAGCCTTATATAAGCATTTGATCAGAAAATTGTAGCAAGGAATCTATACACCACTGTGAGACAAGTGACTCAGCAGTGTGACCTTTGCCTCCAGACTAATCCCCAAAGTACCTCCAAAATTAGAGATAGGCCAAATTGGAAAAGGGAATGGGCCTGGACAGCAATGGCAGATTGATTTTCGGAACTCCCAAGAAAAGGGGGGGTATCGATACATGTTGGTATTAACTGGCACGTTTTCAGGTTGGCCAGAGGCGTTTCCTACCAGAACAGCCAAGGCTAGGGAAGTGGTAAGAATACTAATGCAGGAAATAATACCACGTTTTGGCTAGTAGTACCAGCTACTATATCCTCTGACACGGGACCACATTTTATTTCAAGAATAGTGCCAACAAATCAGCCGCCATCTAGGTATAGATTGGCAACTTCATACCCCATATCGCCCTCAGTCAAGTGGCCAGGTAGAAAAAGATGAACCACTTGATCAAACAACAGATTGTAAAATTGGGACAGGAGGCTAATCTGGGCTGGCCTCACTCTCTTCCTTTGGCTCTCTTACGCATACGAACAAGGCCAAGAGCAAAGGAGGGACTGAGCCCTTTTGAAAAACCTGTATGGACGACCTTATGGAGTGCAGAAGGGGCAGAAGGGGATGTCCCGCACAAGCAGGAGACGAAATTATGACATCCTACATGGTGGCATTAGGGAAACAGTTAGATAAAATTGGAAAACATGTAGCTGGAACCCGGAGTAGGGGTTTGGATAGACCTATACACAATGTACAACCTGGAGATTGTATATATGTAAAATCTCTACAGAAAAAACTCTTGGGAACCCCAATGGGAAGGACCCTTTCAGGTGCTGCTTACGTCATACACTGCAGTAAAAATTAAAGAACAACCTGCTTGGATTCACCACACGAGAATCAACAAGTCAACACAAGGTCCATGGACACTTGAAACGACGGGACCAAGTAAGTGTAAATTGAAAAGGCAACATGCGTAGACTTTGGACATTGCTTGTAACTATTGTATCAGCTCAAGCATGGAAGGAAAACTCGTATGTAAACGTAACCGAAAGAGTGGCCCGGTCTTTAAATTTATCAGACTGTTGGATATGCACTGCACTTCCGAGGGGCAATATGGAAATCCCACTATACGGGATACCCTCCGGAAGTTGGACTAGTGCATTATATAATAATCAGATGTGGTCCACTAAATGTTGGGGAATGGAAAGGGTAGACTTACCCTCCCTGAGGGACCGAAATTTGCTTTACAAGCATGGGGAAATGTTAAAAGTCGGTGTACGGGGGGACAATGATAGCAGCGAACAAAAGATCTTGCGTAATCTGGGGCTTAGTTTTGGTCGGGAACCTGACTGTTCAAAAACGGAAAATGTAGGGGGATATAATCTAGCCAATTTAAGGTCATCTTGTAATATTACTATCCAAGTAGCATACGACCCTGATAAGGAGTCTGGAGTGGATGGATCTTCGGAAAGTGGGTGCAAATTAGGTATAGGGTATTGGTGGCTATGTGGCGATTGGGAGGGCAAGGAAGAATTTACCACCTAATTGGAAGGGTCCCAGGGATGGGACCTCATCCCTCCAGGGATGGGGACTCCACCACTTCCCTGGGCAGCCTGTTCCAATGTCTAACAACCCTTTCGGTAAAGGAGTTCTTCCTAAGATCCAACCCTAAAACTCCCCTAGCAGTGTCCTGCAAAAGTTCTCAGGCGGGGTATGTACAGCTTTGCTAAGACCATACTGGGTGTTGTGCCACGTTCTGCAGGCTCCACCAAGTGCCATCACTCCACGTTGTGGTCTGTTGGCAGTTAACAAGCTACCTAAAGAGTCTGAGCCTGGTGTGGGCACTTGGCCTCATTAACATAGAAGAAACTGTCTGGAGCCCATTTTTCACCGAGAATGCACACCTGGCTATGTAACATTACATTTTCCTCACCACTTTCCTTTCTTTCATTTGTTTTATTTATAGGGGTAGCTGCAACCACTTGGAAGAAAAAGCAGAAGAGGAGAGAGAAATTGCTGCCCAAATGTTTGCAGTGTGATCAGTGTTAATAAAGCTTCTGAACTGACCTCTTTTAAAATGCAACTTGCGTTATTACCAACATTTGGAGTCACAGTATTCCCCAACACTCTAGTGCAGTCTTTGGCCCATCCACCCCATGGCTGCTTCAGAGAAGGAATGAAAACGAAGAGGCTCTAACTCCAGTGGTCACCCTGCTGGCTAAAAATCACCAGAGCTGAGGGTCACGCACAGAAAGTGGAAGGGGACGGTGCTCCCTGCACCTATAGCTGGATGACGTGGGAAGGTTCAGCCCAAGGAAAAGTCCTGGACAGTGCTAAGAGAAGTTGCAGCTCCTTTCCTGCTCCCTGGGGCAAGGCCTGGGGCCAGCACCCTGCCAGTGACCCTCACAGCCTGCGGACTGCTCTGCCCGAATCTCCAGGGTGCAGCAGTCTCCTTGGGGAGGCAGCTCCTGACCAGGGCAGGCTGCAGCCCCTGTTGTGACACGCGATGACGGCAACAGCGGGGCCGTCTGTGACATCACACCACGTCCTGCTCAAAAGCCCCTGTGCGCCGCGACCTGCCCCTCACTTGGCCTGCGAGGGCCTTCAGGAGGCAGTGGCTGGTGCTGCTCTGCTGGGGCTGCCGCTGTGATCTGCGGAGCTGCCTTGCAGAAAGGAGCCAAAGGCACTGGGAAGCAGCGTCCCCGCGTGGGACAATTCCTGCTGACGAGTGGAGGAGGCCCGGAGCGAGATGGAGGCCAGGAGTGCTCCCATCCTGTGCAACGGCCGCCTCATGTGTCCAACACTCATGCACCTCCAGGACGATGGTGAGCCCAACAGGAGGTTGCCTGAGGAACAGGCAGCAGCGCAGCCCACTTGAGCGCAGTTTATTGTGGGGAGAGAGAGGGAGGGTCTGGGGACATAGGACACTGGCCCCATTGGCCACGAGGACCTGTGCTGGACGAGAAAGCTGGCTTGCAGTATGACGTCTCTTGCCCTTGCTTTCAGAGATTGTGAAAGTTTGGGATGCAGTATCCCACTTCATCCGCAGGCAGTTTGCGCTGAACAAGGTGAGCTTGGCAGCCTCATCCTGCCCTCTTACTCTGCTCTTTCCCACAGCCCCGCCTCCTCAAGCATCAGAAACACCCCCAGCGGTGGCCTGCAAACTGCAGAGGTTGTCAGGGGCCCCTTGCTGCTCTGGCAATATGCACAAAAGAAGAGCCCAGCTCCAGCAGAAGGACGGGGTCCATTCTGCCTGGTGCTTGTGTGTTGCCCGTGGCCAGAGTGGGCAGGCCAGCATGTCGCTGGTGCTGGCACTCAAGGCTTTCCCTGCTTGTTGGGGAAAATCCATGACATTGAGGCCATCTCCAGGGCTCTGCAGAGTGACACTGCCTGGCAACTTCTCATGAGCAGTGGCCAAGGCATGAGGGCCCATCTTCTTGCTTGGAGAAGCCCCAGAAATCCTGACCCGCTGTTCCTGATTTCTTGCTTTTCAGGGTGTCACAGTACCTGGGCTGGGCACCTTCTTTGCTGTTAAACAGGACCGGCCCATGGCAGGCGTTAAGCTCCTTGACGCAAAGAAGCCCGTCTTCCAGGTTTCGGAGCACTTTGCCAATGTTCATGGGCTCCCTTACAAGAAAGAAACTTTTCCTGGTAAGAAGAGAGATGATTGTCTGGGCTCCCACGCGCGGGGGACTTTGGGCTGCATGCTCAGCTGCTGCTGGGAGGGCAGTGGAGGGGTTCCACAGCTCCTCCAGGAGGTCCAGAGAAAGGCCTGAGCTCCTCTCAAGCCAAGGCCCATCAATGCCTTGCACGTCCCTCCAGGACACCAGCTCCCAGAAACGTCCCTCCCCATCCTGTTGGCACCCCTGATGGCTGCGTTGGTGGTTGACTTCTGCTCTAAGCAGTTCGGACAACAGCAGGTGCAGGCTGACACTGGGCATCAGCTTCTATGGCATCAGCGATGCCCCACGGACTGTGCTGCCCCAGGCTCTTGGAGCTCTGTCTTTCAGGGATTCTCTTCCTGCAGACGAGCAGTCAGCAAGACAGCTCTGTAGCAGTGCTGGAGGGCCCAGAAGCTACCCAACTGGGACTGCCCTCCTCTGCAGGCCTGTCTTAGTTATTTTCTCCTTGCTTCCTCTCCCTCAGGAATACCTCCATTTGTTTTCCTGAATTATGCTGGTTGTCCTTGGACATCGGCATTCCTCGGGACACCGTTGCAGCGCTGCATTCAGGAGACCCTGCTCTTTCTCTCCTACACCCTGCAAAGAAGCAGGCTGTGGATTTCATCTTCAAGGACATCGGCCGTCTGGTCTTCCGCCAGAACAGAGTCCAAATGCACTTTTCCTCCGACTTTGTTCACAACCTGAATAGCAACGGCCAGCTGTTGAAATGCCGCCTCACTGTAAGTTTCTCACTGCACCAGCACAGCCCAGGGCTCCTGGGAAATGCCCCGAGAGGCCGTTGGGAGGGACTTCTCCTTCTGGGTCAGACGCGTCTCCTGATGAGGCACAGGAGTCTGGCCCCTGCACAAAGCCAGGCAGTGATTTTGCCGGGTGCAGGCACTTGCTGGGCAGCTGTGCTGCTTGTAAGGAGGGGTGAACACTAAGCCCTGCAAGCTCTGCCCGTGGGCAGCTTTCTGCCTGAGCAGCCGCGATGCCTTCATTGGCACGGGCATCCCTTCCTGTCCATGGTCTCACCCACGACTGTCTCTCCTGCAGAGTTTAAGCACAACGGAGTTGGCCACATCGGAGAGAAAAAGCATGGTCTCACATCCAGCTTCTCGAGGTTGTCATCATCTTTCCCAGGTGGGTGCATTGCTTCTGCAGCCCTTGGCTGAGAGTTTTTGGAGCTTTTCAGCTCCTCTCCGGAAGGTCAGCAGTTGCCAGGGCTTGCCCAGTGCTCAGGGAGGAGCTGGAGGGGGACTTTTCCAAGCACTGGTTCCTCCTCCACTCCACACCGATTCTTGCTTGTTTTTGGGGGCGTTTTCTTTGTGTACCAAGGGCTGGGAGGATGTCTATTCCCTGCCCAGCCCACAGCAAGCCCCTCTCAGATGCTGGCACCAAGACCAGCACCCTACAGCCCTAGAATGTGGTGCCCTGTAGTCACACTGCCTTGGTCTTTCTTCCAGGATTGGGCTCTACATACCTCGGGAAGAGCTGCAGGGAAGGGTCTCTCCAAGCACCCAAGGGTTCTGCTTTGGAGAAGAAGGGAGACGCAAGTGTGGAGGGAGAGTCTACCAGAAGAGGTAATGTGAGAGCGGGCTCTTGGGAGTGACAGCCCCTGGGAGACCTCTCTGCCCTTCCCTTCTGAATGTCCTCCTGAGGGCAAGGGGTACAGAGGCGAGGCTGGAAGGCTGCGCTTTGCACAGGATGAGGCCCCTCCTCTGACCCCAGTTCCCGTGGCAGTAGCTCTGCTGGGCCTTCGTAGGAACCCAGAATGGCAGGGCAGCCCCGCGCTTCCCATAGCATTCAACAGGATTAGATGTGTCCAAAGGTTAGAAGTGGGGTACAGTGGCAGCAGGGAGTCCCAGGACTCCCATCCCACCTGAGCAGTTGCAAGCCCAATAAAGACTGTACTTCCTGCTGGAGGGACCAGCACGGGCTTCGTAGTGTGCCAATTTCACAGAACACAGAATGGTTTTAGGATGGGAGCTACCTGAAGACGTCAGCTTGGCCAAACCCCTGCTCAAACTGGGCAACCCAGCACCAGTGTCCAAGGAGCATGTCCTGTGCAGATGACTCCCATCCCCACCCGTGAAATGCCAGTGGCCAAGGAGACTCCCTTCTAGGCCAACCCATCTCCCAGCTTGCTCTGCCTTTTACAAGTAGCACCGGATCCAGCAGGGAGGCTCATTCCCTGCCTCTTTGTGTGGCCACCAAGGAGCAGCACTGACGAGCCTTCTCGTTTCCTCCTTACAGGGATGCCTCCTATTAAGAGCCAGCTGCTCACACCCAGAGTCTCTCTCTATCCAGACTCTCCAAGATGAAAGGGGAGGCAAAGCTGAGCCAGGCTGCAGTGGAAAAAGAGCCTTCTCGCAGGTGAGGCTGGGGGTGGGAGCCTAAAAGAAGCAGCCCCTCGGCTTTTCTTGAGTCATCAAGCGGCTTTCCTTAGACATGGGGACTTGGTGAATTCCACAGGGGTCCCGACACATGCCCCACCAACTTCCCTTTCCCTGCTGGGGACCTGATTGGTGAGCAAAAACTAGAGCAGGAAATCCTCCTCTTCTGTGCTTGCAGGCTGCTGACAACCGTGAGGAAAGCTCCTCAAGAATGGCAGAAGAGGGGAAGGGCAAGCTCTGTGCTGTGGCCTGGCCCCAAACTCAAGCCCCTGCCTGTGAGGGTCAACGGAGAGGAGGACAGGTAGCCACTGCATCTGTGTGCCCATTGCGGGTTGTTTCACGGGTTGCCATCATGGAGATTTGACATTTCTTTAATAACTGCATGCCCTTGTGCCCTGTAGGAAAATGCTGCTTGAGACACGGGCCCATGGTTATGACAAGTGCTTTCAAGCACTCGAGAAGGAACCTTTCTCTTCTCTCAGGGGGCCATGTGCACACTCTTCCCCTCTTAGCTCTGCAAAGGAAGCTTCTCTCCAAGAGAAAAACGTGCACTTTCTGAGCCTTGTTTTCCTCTGAGAAGGACAAGGGCTCCTGCAAAGCCCCACTGCAGTGAAAGTGTTCTTGCCCTTAGTTTCAGAGGCTGAGGGTGTTACCCTTTCATGCTGCCTTTCTGAGAGAAAGCAGGCTGCAGGGAAACTGCCCTGAGCCTGCGGAAACCCTGAGGGGACGACCTGCCCCACTGCCATGGGACAGCTCCCACGTTAGCACCCCCATCTAAAAACGTTCCTTGTTTCTGCTTCCCGTGTAGCAGAAGACGCAGAAGGAAATGCAGGGGCTGCAGACAGAGAGCACATCCTCCATGGCACTTGTGGAATGGAAAAAGTCTCTGCAGATGGTGCCAGTGGACATGAAACAGCAGCATGTCCTAATCCCTCACCCGCCGGAGAAGAAGGCTGAGGCAGCTCCTCTGAGCAAACCGAGGTGCCAGGTAAGTGTGGGCCAGCTTCCAAAAAAGGCCAGGAAAAGCTGAGCTGCAGCAGGCTGCCCGAGGGATCCAGCATGCGGGTTGCTCAGCTCTGGGCTTTGGCTCTCCATCCCCTGGCTGCCTCGCGGAGAGAATGACCGTGGAGAGGCCCTGCCTCCAGCTGTCCCCCTGCAGACCCAAAGTCCTAAAGCTCCCCTGCAGCTGACAGTGACGCACCCACAATGGAAGGAGGCTGTGCTCCCTGCTTTTGGGCAGACAGAGGTGAGGACCTTCAGAGCCCACCTGAGAGTTTTTTTCTCTGTTGCTGCAGCTGCCTTTCAGTGCGGACTGAGCGCGTGAGGAAACAGCTGGAGAGGAGAGGGGAGGTCCTGCAGAAAGACAAGACCAAGAGCAGAGCTGTCGACATCCCTGGAAATTCTGCAGAGGATCTTCCTGATTTGGTAAACCTCTCCTGCAACAGCCTCATTCCACTAGCAACAGCCCCTTCCTTGGGCAATGAGGCCCCCAGGCTCACGAGAACCCTTGCCCTGGCCTTCCGTAGCTGCTTGGCCAAAGGTCTCCAGCCCGGTCTCACACAGCGCATCGGCCTGGCGCTGCGTAGATTCCCTGTCACTGGCTGGGACTCGAGGGCCCCCACAAGGCCACACAGAGCCTTGGGACTCCTGCATATGCACGCTGCACAGGACTGGGGCTGAAGGGAGCAGGGAGTGTCACTCCGCTGCCCTCACTGGAACAGAAACTTGAACCCTTTCTTTTTCTCTCCCTAGCGTTGGTGAGAAAATCCCTGTGCTTCCAATGCCAAAGATGACACGAGCATCAGGGAAACCAGCGAGGACCCTCGCAGCTGGGAGCAGCTGCGAGCCCAATAAAGTCTTTTGCTTCCTGCTGGAAGGACCAGACGGGCTTTGTAGTGTTCTGATTTCACAGAAACACAGAATGGTTGAGGTTGGAAGGTACCTGAAGAGGTCAGCTTGGCCCACCCCCTGCTCAAACATTGCTACCCAGCACCAGTGTCCAAGGAGCATGTCCTGTGGAGATGGCTTTCAAGTGTCTCCCCTTGAGGAGGGAGACTCTACAGCCTCACTGGAGAACCCGTGAGAGGACTCGCTCACCCACACACTACAGAAATGGATCCTGAGGTTCAGATGGAAGCCACTGTGTTTGCTTCTGCGCCCATCGCCTCCTGTCCTGTCATTGGGCTCCACTGAAATGAGCCTGGCTCCATTGCCTTTGCACCCTGCCCGCAGGCATGCAGTTATCCACTGATCCCCCCCTGAGCTTTCTCTTCTCCAGGCTAAACAGTCCCATCTCTCCCAGCCTCTCTTCATAGGAGAGATGCTCTGTTCCCTCAATAATCCACCTCACAATTTTTGTGGGACTGTTAAGCAGTTCAAGTAGCACCATTCGTGGCCTGCCAAGACAGCCACGAAGGCCTCCTAGCTGAGGCTGCTGATTCTCCCTTGCTGAAAGCCAGGTGCTCTTAGGATCCAGCATCAGATCCTGCCTGTGCCTGGAGAGCTGGGAAGAGCTGGGAGCTCTTGATCCTTCCAGGGTGGAACTTCCAAGTAACGGCTCACTGCAACCTTCCCTTTGGTCCCAGGAATAAAAAAAAAAAGGCATCAAGCACCTGCCCCTCACTCCTCACTCAGCCCAGAATTAGCAACAAGTCTTCCTTCCCTGCTGGTACTGCTGCCAAGGGAGCTTGAGTTAAGAGCCTCTTTTGGAAAACAGCTTTTCCATGACCTCTCGGGTCTGCACATGGCCAACAAGCAGCAGAGAGAGCGTTTGTGAAAATGGGAGAGAAAGAAGGAAGGAAAGCCAGCAGGGACTTTAAATCTGCACAGCACAAAACTGAAGGACAAGTTGATTTTTTTTTGTCACATCACTCATACAAGAGAGTGAAGAGCTCTCTTTCTCTCACATGCTCTCACAGTTTTCATTCTCTCCTCCTAAAACTTTCGGGGACTTTGGTCCCTCATCAGGCAGCCTCGATGCAAGTTGCTGTCAATTCCACTTGGGTGGAATACCTCTTGCTGAATTGCTGCCTTTGGCCTTAGAGATCCCAATCTATAGG